GTGCATGTGAGCAGAGACTTCTTCATCTTCCCAATCACCTCATATTTACTTCAGGTTACCTAGATTGGAGTAGTGGAAACAAATGAGATCATTATTTACATAGGGCTCTCCATGAGGTTGAGGAACCCAGGATGGGGATTTCTTTTTGATTGATTAGAGGATAGGAATTAGAGGACTTTTCCCTGATTTAGCAGTTTGGGGAATAAACGAATATAGGGGGCAGCAACTTTGCCCACCTCTAATGCCCATTTTATAGGCATCTTGTTGACTGTGATTCATGCTCCTTCACACCTCAGATCGGCCCCATGTTCCTGCAACTTCATAACTCAGGTCAGCCCTGTTCCTGCAACTTCAAGTCTGATGTTGGCACCTGTTCCTGCACCTTCGTGCCTTATGTTTCAGTGCCTCAAGGTCTATGGTCAGCCTGCCGCCTCAGGTTGGCTGCAACTTCTGTACCTCAGGGTCTCAGGTTGTCTCCCTGTTCCCACTCCTTCATGTCTCGGGTCAGCCCCCCACTGCTGCAACTTGTCAGCCCCCCCAACCCAGGTTGGCCCATCTCCTGTTGCTGCAACTTCACAACCCAGGTTGCCCACCTACCCCCCCCCTTACCCTTCTGAAACTTCACAACACAGGTTGGCCCATCCCCTGTTGCTGCAACTTCACAACTCAGGTCGCCCACCTACCCCCCCCCCCCTCCCCCTGCTGCAACTTCAAAACCCAGGGGTTTTTTTTTTTTAACTGCGGATGAAAAATTTCATCCAACAGTTCTGCACACACTTATTTATATTCTGAGAGGAAGCCCCTGTTGCTGTCAGAATAAACAGATTGGTGCTGCAGCTGAATGGAATTCCTGCAAAGAAAACAGCAATGGTTAACAAGAAAACAGGAACTCTGCAACAATTAAATGACAACTATTTATTTATTTTTTTGAACTTTCAGATGTTAGGGTCTCTCAAAATGCGATAGTTTCCTTACTACCTAACATTTTTCGAGACCCTGTGTAAATGTGTACCCTAGACTGGGCTATGCTGTACTCTATACTAATAGTCCACTAGTGTATGGTAGCGACGGAAGCAGTCTTTGAGGCAGAGACCAGTTTGGCCAGGACAGTAGGGACAAAATAAAGCGGGTGTCACGCCTAATTCTGTGCCAGCTACAGACATGTCATCTTATTTGGGGTGCCTTTTTCGGTTGGGGTACCAGGAATGGCATTGGTTAAATGCCTCTTATGCAGCTGGCTAACTGCATCTGGGTTGGGGGTTTGGACCACAATACCTTCTGGATACAAAAGGGCCGTGATTGTCTCTTACTGAAATTTTAGAAAGGATCCACTTCGTCCCGTTGCTTTTGTAAAGCAGAAAAGCGTTATATAGAGTCAGTTGAAATAAACGGACGCTTTTTTTTTTTTTTTTTTTTTTTGTACCAGCGTCTGGCTTTTCGGGAAACGAAGTACAACTTCATCATCTGGTCACTGAAGTCCACCCCTCCCATGTTAAGGTTATAGTCGTGGACACAGAGGGGCTTCTCAACACCAGCTGCCGTGGAAGTTTGGATGGTTGTGTCTGCGTGAATGGAAGACGGGACAAAAACATCCCCTTTGTCCTTCCACTTCACTGTGAGCTATTCATAATTTTTTTGAGCAGGCTTTTTCCTCCTTTTTCAGACAGGTATTTACAAGCTGTTGGGGGAAGCCCCAACGATTAGGTTGCACGGTGCCACATGCGCCAATTCCAATTGTATCAATGTCTAAATAGTGGCACACTTTAATAAAAATTATCCACGTATAAGTGGTACCCCATATGAGAAAAAGGGTGACACCAAGTCCCAAACTATCTTGCCGCTGCTTCCCATGTAGTCTGGGCAGATCTTTTCCCTCGTAAATCCAAAACTTACGTGTATAGCCCTCTATTGCCCTCTCACAGGTGTTTTACATTTTGACCCCATTTCTGGCACACTTGCTGGGGAGAAATTGTTTGAATGCAAGTCGGCCAGAAAAACTAAGGAGGGACTCATCAACACAGATGTTTTGCTGGGAAATATAGACATCTACAAATTTCATGTTAAGGTGACTTACGAGGGGCTGAATTTTGTAGAGTCGGTCAAATTCAGGGTCACCCCAAGGACTACAGAGTGTATTGTTGTTGAAATGCATAAATTGCATTATAATCTCTATCTATGCCTGGCCATGGTAGCAGAGAACACAAGCATATGAATCGTGTCTGTGGACCAATGAGCCGCAATTTCATTTATTTATTTTTTTAGTAATGCCCATGTTGAGGACTAGGCCTAAAAAAAATTTAATTCGGAAACCGTAATGGGTTTCCATGCAAATGGTCTGGCAAGGTTTGAATTTGGGTTGGCGGCGATAAATTGTTGTGCATATAAATTTGATTTTATCCATCTTCCGTGAAAAATGGCTCCAAAAAATCAAGGGAGATATTTAAATTTGTGTTTCCTCACCTGAATTCTGGGTAGGGCAGTGAATGGCGGAAGTATGGGTGCTGCAGAATTTGTGCGCTGCCAAACAGGATTTGCAAGCACATCCGGAAGCACACTATGGGCTCTATGGGCCTATGTTCAGATTCTTGGTGGCTGTGGGGCACTACTTGCACTAGCCACTGCACCAGCTTGTACTGCACTTATGGGACTCACTACGTCACCAAATGATACTGCAGTGCTGGTATGTATAAGACCAGAATGTACTAGGCCGCTGTTTCACCATAAGGTAGAACGACACTAGTACTGGCACTCTGCTGCATATGAGAATCATCATGAAATTGTACCACCTCAGCAACCTGGGAATGGGATCAGGAACGCCTGAATTTAGCAGGGACCTCTACTCCATCATCTGAGCTATCTGCCAGGGTGCCGCTGCTGTCTACAGGTTTGTATTCTGAGCTTGATTCTGTCATTGAGGCTTCCTCTTCGCTCTCATCTGACATGGTCAGAATCCTGTAGGCCTCTTCACTAGAGAGTACCTTTTGTTGGACGTTTTGGTACCTAGTGCAACTCAGTGGGGGGGGGGGGGGGGGGGGGGGGTAGAGTATCTGGCTGTCAGGGACTGTTTGAACCACTACAAAAAAAATGTATCTGCAAGTGCTAGCAGAGATCAGGACTGATTCTGTTAACAGTTCGGTTCTGTGCAATGTATCAAGTGACAGTGATCTACTGACACTGCACTTGCTGGGGGAAGAGGAGTGGGAGGAAGTTAAGCAGGTGGCGGGACTCGTCCTACTAGGGAGAGAAGATTGCATAATTTCCTGTACCTGTGTAAATGTAAGCACAGGTACAGGAAGATCTGTGATAGGGCAGAGATCAATCAGCAGATCCAGGATGAACATCACTGGCCTGAATCTTCTGATTTATTGGTCGGGCACTGAATCATGGCACCACTGGGTCTGTGCACACGTACCCGCGATCACGGCAGGAGCACGATTCACGTGTGTGTGTGTGTGTGTGTGTGTGTGTGTGTGTGTGTATATATATATATATATATATATATATATATATATATATATATATATATATATATATATACACACACACACACACACACACAGTGAAGGAAATAAGTATTTGATCCCCTGCTGATTTTGAATGTTCGCCCACTCACAAAGAAATGATCAGTCTAAAAATCGAATGGTAGGTGTATTGTAACACTGAGAGACAGAATAGCAAGAAAAAATTCAAAAGAAATGCATGTCTAACAAATGATGCACTGATTTGCATGTTCATGAGGAAAATAAGTATTTGATCCCCTTCACAAAACATGACTTAGTACTTGGTGGCAAATCCCTTGTTGGCAATCACAGAGGTCAGACGTTTCCTGTAGTTGGCTACCAGGTTTGCACACATCTCAGGAGGGATTTTGACCCACTCCTCTTGGCAGATCCTCTCCAAATCATTAAGGTTTGGTGGCTGACGTTTGGCAACTCGAATTTTCAGCTCCCTCCACAGATTTTCAATCGAATTAAGGTCTGGAGTCTGGCTAGGCCACTCCAGGACCTTAAAGTGCTTCTTCTTGAGCCACTCCTTTGTTGCCTTGGCCGTGTGTTTTGGGTCATTGATATGCTGGAACACCCATCCACGACCCATTTTCAATGCTCTGGCTGAGGGAAGAAGGTTCTCACCCAAGATTTGACAGTACATTGCCCTGTGCATCATCCCTTTGATGCGGTGCCGTTGTCCTGTCTCCTTAGCAGAAAAACACCCCCAAAGCAGAATGTTTCCACCACCATGTTTGACAGTTGGGATGGTGTTCTTGGGGTCATAGGCAGCTCCTCCTCCAAACACTGCGAGTTGGGTTGGCCAAAGAGCTCGATTTTGGTCTCATCTGACCACCACACTTTCAACCAGTCCTCCTCTGCATCATTCAGATGTCCAGTGGCAAACTTCACATGGGCCTATACATGTGCTTTCTTGAGCAGAGGGATCTTACGGGAACTGCAGGATTTCAATCCTTGTCGGCGTAGTGTGTTTCCAATTGTTTTCTAGGTAACGGTGCTCTTAGCTGTCTGGAGATCATTGACAAGATCTTCACATGTACAGTTGTGTTCAAAATAATAGTGTGTTGAAAAAAGTAAAAGCTCAAAATCCTTCTAATAGCATTTTATTTCCATACACACAAATGCATTGGGAACACTACACATTCTATTCCAAATCAAAACATGAAGAAAAATATATCAAATTTGTGTTGTTCCTCTAAACAAATTGAAGAAAAGTGAACATCAGACTGTTCAAAAAAATAGCAGTGTATGTATTCTTCTTTACAAACGCAAACATTCACTATATAAACTGAAAAATGTTTGAAGACTTTGCTTTCCTTTGAATCACTTACCGTATATACTCGAGTATAAGCCGACCCGAATATAAGCCGAGGTACCTAATTTTACCACAAAAAACTGGGAAAAACTATTGACTCGAGTATAAGCCGAGGGTGGGAACACCAGTGGGAAGAATCGTGCCTTATCATTGGTGTCAGTGGGGTGTCAGAATAGTGCCCCATCATTGGTGTGAGTGGGAGGAATAGTGCCCCATCATTGGTGTCAGTGGGAGGAGTAGTGCCCCATCATTGTGTCAGTGGGAGGAGTAGCCCCATCATTGGTGTCAGTGGGAGGAGTAGTGCCCCATCATTGGTGTCAGTGGGAGGAGTAGTGCCCCCCATCATTGGTGTCAGTGGGAGGAGTAGTGCCCCATCATTGGTGTCAGTGGGAGGAGTAGCGCCCCATCATTGGTGTCAGTGGGAGGAGTAGCGCCCCATCATTGGTGTCAGTGGGAGGAGTAGCGCCCCATCATTGGTGTCAGTGGGAGGAGTAGCGCCCCATCATTGGTGTCAGTGGGAGGAATAGTCATTGTTGTCAGTGGGAGAGTAGCGCCCCATCATTGGTGTCAGTGGGAGGAGTAGCGCCCCATCATTGGTGTCAGTGGGAGGAATAGCGCCCCATCATTGGTGTCAGTGGGAGGAATAGCGCCCCATCATTGGTGTCAGTGGGAGGAATAGCCCCCATCATTGGTGTCAGTGGGAGGAGTAGGCCCCATCATTGGTGTCAGTGGGAGGAATAGCGCCCCATCATTGGTGTCAGTGGGAGGAATAGCGCCCCATCATTGGTGTCAGTGGGAGAAATAGCGCCCCATCATTGGTGTCAGTGGGAGGAATAGCGTGGGAGGAATAGCCCATCAGTGGGAGGAATAGCGTCCCATCATTGGTGTCAGTGGGAGGAATAGCGTCCCATCATTGGTGTCAGTGGGAGGAATAATGCCCCATCATTGGTATCAGTGACACCAATGATGGGGCACTATTCCTCCCACTGACACTTGCTGACCCCTGTTCCAATATGGTGCTGCTGCAGCCAGCATATGTGGTTGCAGCAGCACCTAAGCACGGCACACTTACCTGCATCTCCTTCACTCGATTTTCGCGGGGCCGCTCAGCTCCGCCTCCTCGCCGGTGATTGGCCGCCTGTGTGCCTTTCCTGAGCTACAGTTCTGGCGGCCAATCACCGGTGTGAAGGTGCAGCCGAGCAGCCGTGCGAACATCCAGTGGACGAACCGAATGAAGGAGCAGCCGCGCTTCCTGGACCGGATCGTCGTGGGACTGGAGCCAGGTAAGAGACAGCAGCCCCCTGCCCACCCCTGTACTTAGTTTCCCTTCTGTTGGAAGGGGGGGGGGGAGCCATCTGCAGACGTTGACTCGAGTATAAGCCGAGGGGGCCGTTTTTCAGCACAAAAAATGTGCTGAAAAACTCGGCTTATACTCGAGTATATACGGTAATTAATATTTTAGTTGTATAAGCACTGTTTCTGAGAACTGCTGTACATCTGTGTTGCATGGAGTCAACCAACTTCTGGTTCGATAAATAGGCCCAACACTGTACTATGAGAAACATCCCCATATCATGATGCTTGCACAACCATGCTTCACTGTCTTCACAGTGTACTGTGGCTTGAATTCAGTGTTTGGGGGTCGCCTGACAAACTGTCTCCGGCCAATAGACCCAAAAAGAACAATCTTACTTTCATCAGTCCACAAAATGTTGCGCCATTTCTCTTTAGGCCAGTCAATGTGCTCTTTGGCAAATTGTAACCTCTTCAGCACATGTGTTTTTTTTTTTCAACAGTGGGACATTGCGGGGGCTTCTTGCAGATAGCTTGGCTTCACATAGGCGTCTTCTAATTGTAACAGTACTCACAGGTAACTTTAGACCTTCTTTGATCTTCCTGGAGCTGATTGTTGGCTGAGTCCTTGTCAATTTGGCTATTCTTCTATCCATTCGAATGGTAGTTTTTCGCTTTCTTCCACGTCTTTCAGGTTTTGGTTGCCATTTTAAAGCATTTGCAATCATTTTAGCTGAGCAGCCTATCATTTTCTGCACTTCTTTATATGTTTTCCCCTCTCAAATCAACTTTTTATTCAAGGTACACTGTTCTTATGAACAATGTCTGGAACGACCCATTTTCCTCAGAATTTCAGAGAGAAATGCACTGTAACCAGCATGTACAACATTTGCTGCCTTCCTTCCTTAAATAAGGGCAATAATTGCCACCTGTTTTTCAAAGAATGAATGACCTCACTAATAGAACTCCACACTGCTATTATTTTGAACATGCCCCTTTCAATTAGTGATTCAATTACACAGAATCAGCAGCATGCATGTCATGACTGTTGGGTCTGTTGGATTTCTATTACTCTACTACACCTGTTAGTAAATTATTTGCCATGTAGAAATATCATTTCTACCAAAAACAGTGATTGATCAGGCTAGTGATGTCTGACTGCTATTATTTTGAACACAACTGTAATTCTGGGATGATTCCTCACTGTTCTCATGATCATTGACACTCCACGAGGTGAGATCTTGCATGGTGCACCAGACCTAGGGAGACTGACAGTTGTTTTGTGTTTCCCTGACATCCTTGGACAGCTCTTTGGTCTTTGCCATGGTGGAGAGTTTGGCATCTGATTGTTTGATTGCTCCTGTGGACAGGTGTCTTTTATACAGGTAAAAAATGAGATTAGCAGCACTCCGTTTAAGAGACTGCTTCTAATCTCAGCTTGTTACCTGTATGAAAGACACCTGGTAGCCAGAACTCCTGCTGAATGATAGGGGATCAAATACTTATTTCCCTCATGAACATGCAAATCCGTGCATAATTTGTTAGACATGCATTTTATTTTTATTTTTTTTGTTGCTATTCTGTCTGTGTTACAATACACCTACCATTCAATTTTTAGACCGGTCATTTCTTTGTGAGTGGGCAAACATTCAAAATCAGGCAGCGGATCAAATACTTATTTCCTTCACTGTACGATATTGTGTGCAGAGAGTCTGCCCTGCAGCAGTTATCCTGCTATAGGGCGGAGGTAAAGTGGCTTATGGCAGGGGTGTATGTTTGTATGCGTGTGTGTGTATCTATGTATGTATGTATATTTTATTTATATATATACAGTGGGGATGGAAAGTTTGGGCACCCCAGCTAAAAATGTGTATTAATGTGCATAAAGAAGCCAAGGAAAGATGGAAAAATCTCCAAATGGCATCAAATTACAGATTAGACATTCTTATAATATGTCAACAAAAGTTAGATTTTATTTCCATCATTTACACTTTCAAAATAACCGAAAACAAAAAAATGGCATCTGCAAAAGTTCGGGGCACCCTGCAGAGTTAATATCTTGTACTGCCCCCTTTGGCAAGTATCACAGCTTGTAAACGCTTTTTGTAGCCAGCCAAGAGTCTTTCAATTCTTGTTTGAGGTATCTTTGCCCATTCTTCCTTACAAAAGTCTTCCAGTTCTTTGAGATTTCTGGGCTGTCTGTCACGCACTGCTCTTTTAAGGTCTATCCATAGATTTTCAATTATGTTGAGGTCAGGAGATTGTGAAGGCCATGGCAAAACCTTCAGTTTACGCCTCTTGATGTAATCCCCCTTGGATTTCGAGGTGTGTTTAGGATCATTATCCATTTGTAGAAGCCATCCTCTCTTTAACTTCAGCTTTTTCACAGATGGCATCAAGTTACCATCCAACATTTGCTGAAATTTGATTGAATCCATTTTTCCTTCTACTCAAGAGATGTTCCCTGTGCCACTGGCTGCAACACAACCCCAAAGCATGATTGATCCAACCCCATGCTTAACAGTTGGACAGAGGTTCTTTTCATTAAATTCTGTGCCCCTTCTTCTCCAAACGTATCTTTGCTCATTCCGGCCAAAAAGTTCAATTTTAACCTCATCGGTCCACAGAACTTGTTTCCAAAATGCATCAGGCTTGTCTATATGTTCATTTGCAAAGTTCAACACATGATTTCTGTGGTGAGGACTTAGAAGAGGTTTTCTTCTGATGACTCTTCCATGAAGACCATATTTGTACAAGTATCTCTTTATAGTGGAATAGTGTACCACAACTCCAGTGTCTGCCAGATCTTTCTGGAGGGATCGTGCAGTCAAACGTGGGTTTTGAATTGTTTTTCTCACAATCCTGCAAGCTGTTCTGTCTGATATTTTTCTTGGTCTTCCAGATCTTGCTTTAACTTCCACTGTTCCTGATGACTGCCATTTCTTAATTACATTCTGAACAGAGGATATTGACATCTGAAAACGCTTTGCTATCTTCTTATAGCCTTCTCCAGCTTTGTGAGCGTCAACTATTTTCAGTTTCAGTTTTCTAGACAACAGCTTAGAAGAACCCATGGTGCTGATTGTTGGGGCAAGGTCAGATGAGTATGGGCATTTAAAACCTTTGAGCTTGACATCACCTGGTCTTCCCAGATGATGATTGAGAACAATCCATGACACTGGCAGGTCTCAGCTTTGCAAAGGGGGCAGTGCATGCTATAAATTCTGAAGGGTGCCCAATCTTTTGCAGATGCCATTTTTTTTGTTTTCTGTTATTTTGAAAGTGTAAATGATGGAAATAAAATCTAACTTTTGTTGACATATTATAAGAATGTCTAATCTGTAATTTGATGCCTTTTGGAGATTTTTCCATCTTTCCTTGGCTTCTTTATGCACATTAATACAAATTTTTAGCTGGGGTGCCCAAACTTTTGATCCCCACTGTGTATATATATATATATATATATATATATATATATATATATATCATTACAGTCAGGTCCATAAATATTGGGACATCAACACAATTCTAACATTTTTGGCTCTATACACCACCACAATGGATTTGAAATGAAACAAACAAGATGTGCTTTAACTGCAGACTGTCAGCTTTAATTTGAGGGTATTTACATCCAAATCAGGTGAACGGTGTAGGCATTACAACAGTTTGCATATGTGCCTCCCACTTGTTAAGGGACCAAAAGTAATGGGACTATTGGCTTCTCAGCTGTTCCATGGCCAGGTGTGTGTTATTCCCTCATTATCCCAATTACAATGAGCAGATAAAAGGTCCAGAGTTCATTTCAAGTGTGCTATTTGCATATGGAATCTGTTGCTGTCAACTCTCAAGATGAGATCCAAACAGCTGTCACTATCAGTGAAGTAAGCCATCATTAGGCTGAAAAAACAAAACCAACACCAACCCATCAGAGAGATAGCAAAAACATTAGGCGTGGCCAAAACAACTGTTTGGAACATTCTTAAAAAGAAGGAACGCACCGGTGAGCTCAGCAACACCAAAAGACCCGGAAGACCACAGAAAACAACTGTGGTGGATGACCGAAGAATTCTTTCCCTGGTGAAGAAAACACCCTTCACAACAGTTGGCCAGATCAAGAACACTCTCTAGGAGGTAGGTGTATGTGTGTCAAAGTCAACACTCAAGAGAAGACTTCACCAGAGTGAATACAGAGGGTTCACCACAAGATGTAAACCATTGGTGAGCCTCAAAAACAGGAAGGCCAGATTAGAGTTTGCCAAACGACATCTAAAAATGCCTTCACAGTTCTGGAACAACATCCTATGGACAGATGAGACCAATATCAACTTGTACCAGAGTGATGGGAAGAGAAGAGTATGGAGAAGGAAAGGAACTGCTCATGATCCTAAGCATACCACCTCATCAGTGAAGCATGGTGGTGGTAGTGTCATGGCGTGGGCATGTATGGCTGCCAATGGAACTGGTTCTCTTGTATTTATTGATGATGTGACTGCTGACAAAAGCAGCAGGATGAATTCTGAACAAGTGGGAGGCACATATGCAAA